GGTGAGACCTATGTATACGAGGTTAGCACTCAAGGCCGACGGCGCACGTTCGCGATCACGCGCGCACCGGTTGCATGTACGAGCTTGGCGGCGGTTGACAGCGGGAAGGAGGTCGCCGGCGCGCTTGTGTGCGATCCCACCGCCGTGTCTCTTGCTGAATGCGGAGGGAGCTTTGGCTACAACGTCTTCAACGGCCACAAGAGCCAGGATAGCCGAAATCAGGAGACTGGCGAAAGCGCGCATCGTGTAACAAAGGAGGGATATGTCAAGTGAGCGTGACTGGCGTAGGAGGCCAAATGTGAAGGGAGGGAGTGCAGCAGACTATAAAGCGGGTGGTCTCAGGCGCTCAGCGCGATGAGAGACAGCCCAGGCAGAAACAGATCGTGATGGATGTAGTCGAGCGCGCGCGGTGGCATGTGTGCCATCTTATACTGTCGGCAACGTAATTGTCGGGTACGGCCCAAGGGAGCGCGCTGTTTGCTTCCAGGGTTGCCAGGGGACATGTGGGGGATCAAACTAGGGTGTGGGCGTTAGCAGGCGTTAACGCTCTCACTCATATTCTTTCTGTCAGGATACTCTGGAATGCCGCGATAGCAATCGAACGCGACCTCTTGCTCTTGGAGTATCTAGGACTTCAGGATGGTACTCTTGCTTTGGTGGACATAAGCGCTAGAAGGCTCCTGCAGGTCGGGCCCGAGCATCATCATGCGAACCCGCGCTCCCACACACGACGTCCAGGCGGGCGTCGTTCCCCGGCATGCCCAATGGATGATCGTCGCCCGCACGACGAATGGGCGCCTTCGACTTGTATTTATACCGACATGTGCGCCACATCGACATGAAGATGTATGCGGAACGAGGTTGTGGTTGCGGAGGAGCATGGCCCACAGATGGTCCCCCAAAACGGCCCGCGCGGCGACCCTCGACGCGGGGGCATACGCGCTTCGTTTCGACCACCCAACTCCCGGTTTGCCCGCGCCTCGGCGTCTCGTTCCCATCTCGCGGGTCAGCCAGCCTTTCCGTTGTTTCCCGTATTAAGAGACACTTTGCGTATCACGCCGTCTACTAATCCGGCACCTGCTCCTGGTCCCTTTCATCTTGATGGTACACTAGTCCTAATGGCATCTCCCGCCGGCGACCCGCTTCTTCCGCCGAGGTACATCCTCGTATCCCACTCGTCACAGTCCCCGAGTTGCAGTACGTCGGTGAAGACACTGAGTCATCCGCACATTCACTACCAGTACGCGGACGACCCACCACTTTCTCTGCTACCCAGTGGTCCCGAAGAGCAGGTTATCGTGCTCGATTATGACCCTTCTGGCCGCGCATCACCCCATGCTCAAAGCATATCCGGTCCTGCTGCTGTGACCGGTGTCAAAGTGACGGACGCCCCTGGGCATATACCCAGTGGCGAAGACGCTGGCTGGAACGACAAGATGTTTGTAGTACACACCACCAGTCTTGACGAGAGGTACTTGCCGTTTTATGAACTTATACCCAGGGGCTACCGGCTCACGACATCTCTCAACAGCCGCACATCCGCCCAGGCCTCGAGCACGGAGGACCCCCAGGCCATCCTCGCGCGTTTCCGCGAAAGGTGTCCTCCCACTTGCTGCCTTTCTGCACCCCAGCGCTAACTTTCAAACGTCTTCAGAAACGCGGTGCTACGACAGGTCCTGGAGTATCAGGCACCCCCTGTCGTCCCACCTGAACATACGAATGGGCATACGAGTAGTTGAACGGCTTAATGATGTAGTAGACTTTTGGAATTTTGTAGTGATTATTATTTCCATAAGTAGCCAAAGTTTCGAACAAAGCTCGGCGACGCGTTGTTGACTTGCAACTTGGACGCGTCTCATATGGCTAATATGACCGACTCCGTGGCCGGTGGTTCCTGCACGTACGCAAGACGGGGAGTGAGGAGAGAACGGAATAGTGTTTGTGGCAATATGGTGTGATGGGGAGGGGTGGGCCTTCGGAAGCCTGGATAGAGAGACGGCCGCGTCGCCTGTGCGGTGGATTCGAGAGGGACCCCCCGCGCCCCTCCCACCCGAAGCTGATCACTGCCGCGCGCGCTCCTTTTGCCTCCTGCCCTGATCTCCCGCGTCCCCGCCGTGAGCCCGCGATGCCCACCTGCAGGCGCAAGCGCGTCCTCCTCGTCGAGCCCAGTCCCACCCTCCTCCAGGCCCTCAAGGACGACCCGGACAGACCCGTTTATTACCTCCACCTCACAGGCGAGATTTTCGAGGATTACGAGCACGTCTCCCGCCCGTTCTCCACGCCAGTCCAGCCAGCCTAACTCTCGCTACAGTGCCTACGCCGGCCGCATATCTTTCTACCGCATGAAGCAGTTCCAGTGCGAGGTCACGGGCAAGAGTGGACTCGACTACTTTGAGGCTCTCCAGAGCGAGAAGCAGGAGGCCCGCATCATGCACGCGCGTTTCCCTGCTCCGCTGAAGCCCATCATCCTCCAGGCAGTACAGTGGCGTGCGTGTTCAACTTGGCCGCTCCCCGTGGCGCGACGCGTTGCTGAACATGTATTATCCCACAGAAATTATGGGCCGTCTTGACCACCTCGTGGAGGCCGTGTACGACCGCTACGTCAACAGGTACTACAAGGGCGAGAGTGCGTATCTCTTCGACGCTGTCCGTTCGCACTGCTGAATGTTGCAATCGTTACAGAAATCTTTGTCGATATCAAAGGACAGAAGTACGTATCTACTACCTCATGCCTCACGTCCTTAGCTAACCACATCCACCGCAGATTCACCGCGTTCGTCGTCGAGGTCTACCCGCCGCGCCTCACCGCTGCAAACGGTAGCGAGACCCATGGCGCCTCGTCTAGCAATGGCGCGCCGGGTATGAGCGGCCGTAAACCTGTTCATGGCATCGGCGGCGACCTCAAAGTACCTGCAAAAGAGGTCAATAAAGAGGATGACCCGAACACATACCTCTACCGCGTGCAGATCGTCGAGGAGGAAAAACCCGAAGGCGCGCGCGACAAGATGGCCGTCAGTACGCGCGAAGCCCGCCTGAAGTGGAACGGGAGCGTCATGGAGGTTAAGTGTAACATAATGAGGTTTGTGACTCTTGCCTTTGTGACGACCCAGTACTGAATGAAGGCTACATCTCCAGTCGTGACCGCCTCGCCTTCTCAAAGAGTATCCTTCGCCGTTTCATGCGTGATTGCGTCGACCGAGACCCCGCTGTCGCGTCGCCGTGGATTGTGAAGCCCGCCATCGCCAAACGCTACGGTGTCAGCTCCGATATGCCCGAGGCGACTCGTCAAGGTGTGGAGGATACCAAGAAAGGCGAGATTCAGAAGCGCAAGAAGATCTGGGAGGACAAGGAAGGGCCTGAAAAGAAAAAGAAGCGGTTGGACGCAGAGAAAGGTTGGTTGACTACCGCATTGGATCACGACACTGGCTGACGTCTGCCTATAGCCGCGGAAGAGAAGAAGAGTAACGCCGCCCAGGCGCAAGCGGAGCGTGACGCGAAAGCGCAAGAGGCCGCCGCGAAGGAAAAGAAGAAACCCATCCGTTACCCGACCGAAGATCTTGACGTCGTGCTCACAGACAAAGACAAGAGAGCAGGCGCTAAAACCAAACGCCCGGTTCCCAGTAAACTTGCTGTGCCTCTTAACGAACACCCTGGCGCTGCAGAAATGTTCTTGATGACTTGGAATTTCTTGGTCGTTTATGGGTACGCCATCTCTTCCATGTCTTGGACTCCGTCTGACCTATCTGTAGACATCCACTTCATCTCTCGACCTTCACCATGGACGAGTACGAGGCCGCTCTGAGGCACCGCTACGAGGACCCTCCCTGCTCCCTGCTGGCTGAGATACACTCAACGCTCATCTATCTTCTGCGAACTGTTCACTTCAATCGACATACCGCAGTACTCTCTTTGATGGAGCAGGACAGCGACACTGACGAGACGATTGCTGAGTACTTTGGCATCAAACTCATGGAACTCACCTCCCATATGGCCGATATCGGAAATAACTGGGAACGCGCGCCTTTGCGGCTATCGGAGGACCGCGCCGGCTGGGAGGAGTCCCTCGTCGGCTGCTTGAAAGATGTGAGTACATCGTACTTATCTTCACCTACCAGTGGCTGACCTCGGAATTCAGCATGCGACTGTCGAGAGCTTCCCGGCTCTCCGTCGCGTCTTGACGCGCCTCCTCTTCGCACCTGACGTTGATGTGGACGCAGACGCTTCGAACGATGACGGGACGCCACGGCCGACCAGCCTCAGCCCAAACAACCCCGCGCATCCCAGTGAGCGGTACTATCAGCTCCCTCCAGAAGATCGTGTCGCGATTCTCGCCTACCTCTGCGATGTCGCTGTGTCGAGCAAAGCAATCCACGCTTACATGGAGTTGTGCGAGGAGCAGCTCACGGCCTTGCGGAAAGAGAAAATCGAGGTCAACCGGTCCAGGAAGCAGCAGTAAGTTCATAATTCCCTGCAGATGCCGTGCGTAGCTGATTGCGCCCAAAGTATCGAGGAGCGCGACACGATCATCAAGGAGCAAAAGGCCAACGGCAACAACGCTACACCCGCGGACGGCACGCCTGCTCCGGACCTCTCAGAACTCTCCGACGGTTCCGAGGCGAGCGCTAAACCCAACGGCAAGTCCAAGGGCAAAACTCTCGCGCAGAAGGCGCAGAACCAGGCACACGCGAAGCAGCGAGAGGCTGCTCGGGCAAAGGAGAAGAGCGCCAAGGCGGCGCTTGCTGAGCAGCGGCGATTGGACGAGGAAGTGAACAAGCTTGAACGTCGATTGGAGGGTATCGAGCGCGAGTTCCGCAAGCTGCTTGGCAGTATCCGCGTCAAGCCCGTCGGTCGCGATAGGTTCTACAACCGTATCTGGTGGTTTGACGGTGTCGGCGCTGCGAGCTTGGTCAACAACGGCGGCAATGTGATATACCAGACTGGGAGACTCTTCATACAAGGCCCCAGCCCATTCGACAAGGAAATTATGGATAGGCGCGCGGATGATGTGCATGCACGTCGGTTATTGGAGGAGGGAGAAGAGGGTATGCTCGGCGTTGGCGAATGGGCCGTGTTCTCCGAGATGGACGAGGTAGGGTTTCGACTCTTCAAGATTGCCGGTCACAGTCTGATTTGGTATTGCTGTAGATGGATGAGTTCACCGCCTGGCTAAACCCGAAGGGTGTTCGTGAGCTGGCACTGAAGACACAGCTGACCAAGTGGTGGCCGCACATTGCGCCGGGCATGCGCAAACGTCTTATTGTATGTCTTCGGTCGCTCTCTGTGTCAACTGGTAACTCATGTGATGGTATAGGATCTGAATGCGAAGCAGCCGGAGGCGCGCAGGAGCTCACGGGTGAAGGGCGGTTCGGACATCTCCCGGGAGCCGTACATGACCTGGAAGAACCACCGCGCTGTTGCGAATTGAGTCTGGTTTGACTACTTCTGCTTTGGCCGTTTCATGTCCGTCCGTGTGCGAAAGGGGGCGGCGGGCATTCAGTCTGATGAACTCTGCTAGAGTCTTACCGAGACCCACTCATACGCTCGTTTCGTTCTTGTCAGTGCATGTTGATTGCAGTTCGCTCTCTGCCACTTGCCCTTCTTCCCGATCTGATTCTTGGGTCTCCGTCGCTTACATTACGATACCACTGCATGTTTATAGTAGCTTGATAGCATCTCGTCGTACATAGCTCGATATGCTTGTATTATCTCGATGTTTCTAGAGTGAACCGGAGAACAGCAGTTGGTCGGCTTCTGTGTTCGGCGAGAAGAGAAGCGAAGTCAGCGCCTGCGATCAGCACCCTGATTTGCTCATGTTCAGCGCATGCGCTTCTTTCCTTTGATCTTCATGGCGCATTGTAGACGAAGACATAAGTTTACTGTGTCTTACGAGTCCGACGTGTGTGGCAGTGGCACTGCGCAGGCCTTGGATCCTGCTCCGCGCAGATAAGGATAGGCGAGCGGGATGAACGGCAGTTAACCGGACAAGCGCCGGCGGGCGGAGCTTACGAGCGATCTACGACGCTCATTCCACGCCGTTCTCGACGTTGAACCGGTTCGCCAGGGCCTGGGCGGGCGGATCTCCCTCCCTAGTACCATGACGTCTCTTCCGGGTCTACCGTCTTTCGCAGCTTTCACAGGCCGCCCTGATAAAATGCACCGTTACGTCTCCGCCACTCTAGACTCGTTATAAAACTTTGCATCGTTCCGACCGCGGAAAGCCAGGCTTGACCTCACCACCCCCTCCTCCGCTCACGAACTCCTCCGCCTCTGACTCGACTTTACCGCTCGGCATGCCGTTCTCTGGCTCAACCTCCGATCCCGAACACTTTGTTGGCTCGTACGCGAGCACCAGCAGCATCCGCGATGCGATCATATCCCGTGCATATCCCCGCGCCGGACTCGTTGTGCCACACACGCGCTGACTCTCCACTGCAGACAATCGCTCTCAGTACTACGCGAACAGTCAGCCCGGTGTACCCTCATCATACTCCAGTGGCTTTGCGGGACCTCTGGACGCCGAACTCGCGTTCGACGAGGAGGACGAAGACGACCTTCCGACTCCTCGCCCCGGCGAGCATGATACGGTCGAGGAGATGATGTGGGACGCCAATCCCGCCGCTCTTCTGCAGCCACCACCTGAGACGCGCGAAATACGCGGCCACAACTTCTCCGTGCCCACCGGGCCGCGACCAAGCGAACATACCCCGTTGCTGCATCATGCAAGTGGCGACTTGCGCCGACGTGTGTCGACCGTCTCCTTGAAGCCTCGTCCTGTTGGCAGGAGTACTTTCAGACAAACGGTACGTGGATTGTTCAATACACTCGGCTGGGCAAATATCCCTTCAATGACTGCGGTACCGTGAACGTGATTCGACTCGTCTCCTGTTCCACTCTTCCGTATCATGCTCGACTCGAGAAAGGGCGCATTTACTGATATCCCCTACAGCTATTCAATGCCGGTGCACTCTTGTTGGGTATTGGTATGCTCAGTGAACCTCTGGCCTTTGCCTGTGCAGGTGAGTAGCTTGATGGGATGTGAGCAGGCCCGCGTACTGACCGCTCGTCTCAAGGATGGGGCATGGGGACCTTTTTGATCATTTTCTACGGGTAAGTGGCACTTGCGCAAACGTTGAAGGTGTACAGTACACTCATGTACTGCTCTAGATACTTGACCTGCTACACTGCCAAGTTCCTTGGCAAGATAGTGATCTCTGACGCTCGCATACGTTCGTACGCCGACATCGGTCTGAAGGCCTTCGGTTCCAAGAGCGCTACGATCATCAGTGTGATCTTCTGTCTCGAGGTATTCACTGTCAGGTGAGTATAGAAACGGAACAGAATCAATGATCTGCTGTATTGACTTGACTACTAGTGTCATTCTGGAAACTCTCTACGCGGATTCTCTGAATGCTGTTATTCCCACATTCTCTTCGGACACGTACAAACTCGTCAGCGTGTTTGTGTAAGTGACTTCTCTTACCTCAGATGATACGTTTAGATGTACTGATCTTTCGCGTAGACTGATACCCTGCGTCTTCCTTCCGCTCTCCACCCTCAGCTATACGTCTCTGATGGGCATCGTTTCAACCTTGTGCTTGACTGCGGTCATCTTCATAGACGGCTTGAGCAAGACAACCGCGCCTGGCAGTCTCATTGAGCCGGCCGAGACGCATCTTCTGTTTGCGAACTGGAAGAACCTCGGAATGGCGTTCGGTCTGTTCATGGCCGGCTTTGGCGCCCACGCCGCGATGCCCTCGCTCGCAGCTGACATGGAGGACCCTTCACGATTCGACGAGGCGATGAACTATGCGTTCACGTTTACGACAGTCTTCTACGCTCTCATCGGTGCTGCGGGGTACCTCATGTTCGGCGACGACGTCAGTGACGAGGTGAGCTAGCTTATGATTCCTGGGCATGTTCCCAGCGGGCTGAGCAGTTCGTTCCGCAGATCAGCCAGAACCTTCTCGGGATACCAGGATACAGCACAGCGCTCAACAAGATCGTGCTGTGGATGCTCGTCATCGCCTCTCTGACCAAGTTCCCATTGACGTCGAGGCCTTTCAACATCACTCTCGAAGTCGTCCTTGGTATCGACCCTGCGCATCGCGGCCCGCCGCATGAGCACGGCGCTTCTTCCAAGCATATCGGACATGAAGTGACGCTCCCCACCAAGCAACGCACCAACTACGCTCTGAAGCGTTTCTTCTTCATCACTGAGCGCGCGTGCTTCGTCCTCATCTCAGTGGCTGTCTCCATCCTTCTACCCGACTTCAGGTACGTTTCCCCTCATCCTTTGCCATGCATCAACCTGACGAAGTTTCCAGTGCGATGATGGCCATACTTGGTTCCTTCACTGCTTTCTTACTTTGTGTTATTGGACCCATCGGCGCGAAACTCTCCCTCGAGGGCAGGAACGTCAAGGACATCATATTCCTCGTTATCGCCACCGCCATGGCCGCCTGGGGCTCCTGCGTAGCCATCATGTCTGAATGAATGAGTCTGCTCGCCGGAGAGACTGCTTGTAGCCATAGGAAAACTCATACCACGAAAAGTATCCTACGATAACCACCCCTAATTCACTGCTCGAATCGACCCGTTCGTGTAGATTACGACCCTTTACGATTGACTTGCCGCATGTGTACACTTTACTCAGCATTTGCTCGGTATACCAATGCACGAGGTTTTCTTCGCTTCATCGCTATCACTCCGTGGGGGATCTTTAGGGACCGTACGCGCAAGAAAAGTCCAGATGGGGTCGTGCATGGAGATAAGGTCGCATGAAAGTGATACATGTATGCTACATGTTTTTGAAATCATCCAAACCATCATACAGCCTGCATCGCGTGCGAGATGATCTTCGAAAGCTCTACGTGCAAGTCAGATCACTGTCAACAGCGTAGACGCGCACGAACTCACGAGGGAGTTTGATGTTCTCCTGCACAACCGTCGATGCGACCGTGTTATCAGGGTTTGAAGGTACCTCGATCACGCCAGCGGCGGAGTCGACTTTCCAGCCAAGCTCAGCGATATACGACTCCGCTGCGGCAACATCGTCTATGACAGGGTCTATGAGAATCACTGTCGACTTCACGCAGAGATGACATACCGCTCAAGCCGAGGTATGATGCTAGCCTCTTGCTACCGATACGCTGGAACGACGCCTTCACTATCCTGACGGCAACCTGCCTGATCGAATCCTCGAAGCCGACAACCTCAATCGTATAGTTCTCACGCAGAGATTGCAATTTCTCAGAGCGATAGAGGTCCCAGAAGGCGGGGAAGCGGCATTGTTGGAGGTAATTGTGGAGGGTGATGAGATGGGGGAGAAGTTCTGTCAGCTCGTCGGGTGTGGACGAGGCGCGGGCATCGAGTAGCGCGACGGCAAGGTTGAAATCGGGGTATGGTACATTCGTGAGTGCCTTCACGAGGATATTGACGATCACATCTGGGTTGTACAGTTGTGCATTGAACTGATACCTGCGAAGACCGGTGAGACATTGCTCCCATAGGATATTAAGAAGACGCACAGTTTGAGTATGGCGAGATTGGCGAGGCAGTCATACTCTTGACTGCGTATTTGGTGGTACAGATAGTCTTCCAAGATTCCGACGTTCGAAGGGTTGTACCGATCTAGAGAAAGACTCCTGATGAGGAAGTGCAGAAAACGGAGTGGGCGCCGACTTGCCTACGCCGGATACCAGGTTCTCGATCAGCTCTGGCCGCGTGGGCGGTGTCTCCCATTCAGAAGCAGGGTTGTACATCGTACTTTACAGGGATCAGAGGAAAGAATAGAGCGAGCTAGAGATGCGCGACTCGATGGTCGTCGTCGAAAGTCAAGATTTTGGTGCACGTGCGCGGGCGCGTCGCGCGCGTCTCGCGTCTTTGGTTTAGAGCCACACCACCATGACCGACGAGGACGTGAAGCCAACAAGCGCTGAACTACAGGATGTTCTCATGTCCGGAGTAACCGAGAATGGAGACACTCCTGGCAATGTCACCCCTGCTGTGCCAGGAGCTCGGACCGCCCGCCCGAATTTCAAGACGCGCTTTATACTTAGTGGGCATACGCGCTCGATCTCTGCTGTCAAGTTCAGCCCCGACGGTAACATGCTGGCTTCTTCAGGTATGTCAACGAGTATCACGTATCGATCATAATGTCTATACCTATATTCTATCCCAAGTGAAGCCGCGGACAAGCTTGTAAAGATCTGGGACGCGAAGACCGGCGACTTCATCAAGACGTTGGTCGGTCATACGCAAGGCATCTCAGACATAGCCTGGTCCAGCGACTCGGAATACCTCGCATCTGCCTCTGATGACAAGACTGTACGAATATGGGGCATGGACACGGTGTGTAGCTCCACTCCTATGTGATTTCCATCGAGCTGACTTGCATAGCAAACAACGGTAAAGGTCCTCTATGGGCACACGAACTTTGTGTTCTGCGTAAACTACAACCCACAATCCAACTTGCTTGCGTCCGGGGGCTTCGACGAAACTGTACGAGTGTGGGACGTGGCGCGAGGTACGCACTTGGTTTGTTTCTACGACAGGTTGTATTCACCCACGACTGTCTGAAGGGAAGTCCCTCAAGGTGTTACCAGCGCATTCGGATCCAGTCACCGCTGTGAGCTTCAATCATGACGGCACGCTGATTGTCTCGTGCTCCATGGACGGCTTGATGTAGGCTAAACTTCTGCAACACTTGAGAGAAAGCCTCGTATTGACCAATTGAACAGTCGATTGTGGGATGCTGAATCCGGCCAATGTCTGAAGACTCTGGTAGATGATGATAACCCAATATGGTGAGGGTTCTGGTACCCCGACTCTATCTGTACTGACGGTGAACGCAGCTCGCATGTTTGCTTCTCACCAAATTCTCGA